TTTTTTTTTTTTTCTTTGGATCTAATGGATGAGATTAACGATCGCAACTGGGAAGAAGATGAGATACGGGCGAAGGAGTGAGTTGATTTTTTGACAAGATGTCCAAAAAAAGGATAAAATTGCCAAGCGAATTAATTTGTCGGGGCACATCATCTTCACGAGGTTGGCATAACGAAAACGTATTGTAAGCGGACGTGGTTTTCTTAATTTATGCAATGGTTCATGTATTCGAGCGTGATTTTTGAAAACATGTGCCTGTCACAAGAAAAGGTTCCCGGATTCATTCACACCTGCATCTCCCCGAACTGCACCAACCGACATTTCACCGTCACGATTCTTCAATTTGCAATTGATAAGGTTTTGATAATGTTTTTTTTTTTTAAAAAAAAAATTTTGGTCGGCAATACGTTTATGTAAGCCCTATCGTAATCAGCTTGAGACGAGGGGTGAATTCGCAACCAATTCTTTTGCGACTCCCCAGAAAACCCTTAAAAGAGCATCAATCCACAACCGAATTCGGGATGTATCGGATTTCGTGAGAGGTAATATGATATCACCGTGAGGGTATGATATAATTTTCCATTGTTGTCATAGGGTTCTAACATATGTCAAAGCTACAAAGTCGAGTAAAGATTGGCGACAAAATAAAGGAAAAGGGATGCGTAATGATGGATTACTGATGAGTAAGGTAAGTGAGCATAATGAATGCGCAAATGTCTTTTGTGATTTTTTGTTGGAGAAAAATTTCCCATGAATCTCCGGCATGAGCAACTTTACACAAAATTTTGTGTTTGCAATTTCGGATCCTTGAGAAAATTTCATTGGTGCCGAAAAAGCATACATACTTTGACATGTGTCAAAAGTGGTTCAAAGGAACCTCACCAGATGGGAAACTGGTGTAATCTTGCAAGCCACATAAGTGGTTTTTGATAACGACAAAAGGGGAACCCACTAGACCATAAATTGGAGATAAGTTTGGCGGGGAAAGTGTGACATGAAGGCAACCTTTGAAAGAAGGCGGGGTCGCACAGAATTCACAAACCTTAACGTTAATTATTGAGTTTCCGGTGGTTGTCGGGAGGGCATGTAATCTCATGCTCAGGAGGGAAATGAAGGTTGACTAACGTTGTTTAGACGGATTGGTCGGGATTAAAGGCGACGAACAAATAAAGGAGAAACGTGCAAAAGTGACAAGTTGAAAATTTATGCGCATACGTACATACATGTGCAATTATTACTATTCATTAGGTACGCACGCACGCAGAACATCGTCATATAAAAAACCAAATTTGATTTTCTAATCTTTCTCTTTTTCCGGTAAAAATGAGAACAATGCATGCAAAGATATTATTTGTTCCAAGGTCGCTTTCCAAATTATTGCCACTTCCTGTGTGTTTGTGATGTATGCGCATGAGTACATTCGATTAGAGGTGTGTGTAGGTGTGCGTGTGTGCGTGTGTGTGTGTGTGTGTGTGTGTGTGTGTGTTTACGGGAATCAAATGAGTGGTGTGGTGGTGGTGACAGTGGTGTGAAATCAATTTATCTAAATGAAAAAGGTTATTATTTGAAACTAAACTAATACAACTAATACCAGATACATGATCTATGGATCGGTAGGGTTGACTGAGGTGGAAGAATTGCATTAATTTACCTATTGTTCGGTATCGAAAATCCATAGAGAATTCGTATCTTGTGTGCCGTCAGGGGGGGAGGGGGAACGCGTAAAACCCACCCAAATATTTTATAAATAAATTGGATGGATGGATTTTACGTGTTATGTAATACGCTGAAGTATGAACCATAGAGGATGATACTGCCGAATCGGGTTTCTGATCTTTTTCAGAATCATCAATGTTTTTTTTAATTTGGCTTAGAATAAAAGATATTGAGAAATAAGGTTTCATGTACCCGCACTCCTTTCCACCATCAAAAATGAAGTGCACCACGCACGCAAACCATCTTCATACGATTAGTCAGATAAAATAAAATTATTATTATTATTGAGAGTAAATTGCGGGAGGGGAGGAGGAGGAAGGACAAATGCGGTATTTCGAGGAGAGGTTATTCGACGAATTTGTCCGTCGGTCTTTCAAACCGAACTCCGAGTGTTCTCAAACCCAGCGGTTGGCTGAGCAGGAGAGAATACGTTTCGCTGAATTAAGAGTCCGAAAAAATTTCAAGGTGCGAACACCGTCCCTTGTTTCTCCGGATATAAGCTAATTAAATGCATACACATATACATGCGCATGTTCTCTATGCGCACAATTACGTACTTCATTGTGTGCAAATTACCACATAGGTAAGGGTTTCCGGTTGGGATAATGGTGGTTTATTTGGTTAGCGCAATTACATTCGATTTAACGATAATACGTATTCACGTATCATTATGTATCGATTTATGTATTGGTATGGTTGGATTTTTTTGGAACTCACCGAACTACTGATTTGTCCAGCAACTCATACCCGTCACAATATCCCTTTCATTGGTTGATTTTTTTGTCATTCATTGTATTGACAGTTTTTTTCAATTGTGACAGAGCATGGCAAATTTGTCCCACAGTATACAACGCATCCTTGGAGTTTTATATTACATGCGCACTGTATAATTTATTATAATAAAGTGTACATCGATCATACTAATTTTAATAATACTTATTAATAATCATTTTATTTTTTGACAGGCCAGGCAGGGGTGTTGTTTTACGGATAGGAGATAACGATTCTGACGGATGGGAAATGAAAAAAGCACGAGTCTGTCACGTTTTGTTTTGGTTAATGGTGAATCGGAGAAAGTAAGTTTGATTCCTGCTGAGGCTTGGTACATTTGGTCATTACACCGCACCGCACCGTATACACGTATACACGGTGCGCCCGTATTTTTTTTTTTTTTTTTTTTTTTTTTTTTTTTAAAGTAGAAAAACAAGAAAGTGAAGTCGCTCACCAACTTCCCGAACGATTGCGCCTAATTGATGTTCTTAACTAATTGAAAGCGCTTGGAAAAAATGGAAATAATGTACGAATGTGTATGTACGTATGTGATGTCAATCTACAAAACATTCATGTAGCTGAAGAAAAAAGAGTTTAATTATTGAAGATTTCGACATAGTAGGGTAAAAAAGAAAATAATAATAAATAATGTTATCAATTTTAAATTAATTATTATTATTATGATGGTGATAATAAACCTCGAAATCTGCACTCGGCAGGAGGATGGATGGATGGTGCTGCATTAGGAAAATTACATATGACAGAAACTTGAATGTTGTGAGCGACTTTTTAAAATGAAATAAAATTGGGAGAACACGTTTTCTTTATAACATCAATCGACATGTACATACGTGGGAACATCTTTAATTTCTTTCACATTTCAAAGGGCGTAAAATTTAATATTACTCAAATTTATCCACGCACGCGTTCATCCAATTGCTCTCGTCAGCATTCACCCGACGCACTCGTCCAGCCTACACGCATTAATTGACGGACGATTGGTGATGAATTCGGGTCTGGAATTTTAATGAATGACATTCACGTCGATGGCAAGAGATGATTGTTGATTTCCAGAGAAAGAAATCCAAAAATCGAAAGGAAACAGGTTTTCATCTGCCGAGTGCGGTGTTTATTAAAAGGTCTACATAACGTTAGGAAACGATTTTATTTTATTTTATTTTATTTTATTTTTATGCGGGACAAACACTCTACTCAATGGTGCTGCCGTTATCTTGCCTCGTTTTTTTTTTTTTTTTTAATGCATTAAATGCGCTTCTTTAGATGGATATATTGTCTTTAGGCAGAAAATTTATATAGTAATGGTCAGCAATTAGAATAATATTTATTTAATTTATAACGTCCCTATATATAAAGGTCGGGTCGACGGTCATGTTAACCCTTTTAAAAAAAAAAAAAAAAAAAAATTTTTTTTTTCTTATTCTTTTCTTAAAATTGATGGGTGTCACCGTTGTAAAGCTAATCCTCTTTACGCAAGTAAAACATTCGTTGAAAATTGTCGTCTCTCTCGCGCTCTCTCTCTCTCTGTGTGTGTGTGTGTGTGTGTCACGGAAAATCTCACTCGTGTACTCATTTCGCCCACATCTTGATTCTAGGATGCGTGAAGGCTCGCTAAATGTCATTACTCGTAAAGTGCAATATATATATATATATATGCCTATAAATGTCATACACCAGTGATTGCCACGTCCAGACATAAACAGTTTGCTCATAAAAGTAAATTTTACTCATGAAGAAAGACTCGAGTTCCCCACCTAAAGTACCAGTGAATTGAATCGTGCCATTCGACTCGTTTTGTTCTTTTTTTTTTTTCCTCTGAGAGTAGCGCAGCACAGCACAACAGTCGTCGTCTCACGTTCGAACCGAAAAAATTATCGTCCACGCATGCACACAAAGTCCTTTGGATGCTCGATGATTATGCGATGCCTTTAATAACAAAATTGCTTCGTATTTACATTTCACGTTCATTACAAGACAATAAAATTATTTAATGATTAGGAATTATGAGTCGTTAATGATAAATGATTAATTAATTAACTAAATAATGTAATAGAATATGCACTCTCATTAAGATATTAAAAGGGAAATTTTCAATTATAAAATGTAAATTGCATGATAAATTATAAACAGGTGCTAACCAACCAACCAACCAACCAAAATCACCCATTCGCGCCAAATTAATTAAACTAAGGAAAAGGTAGGTATAAATTATTGCATGTTTTTCAATGGTTTTTTTTTTTTGTTTGTTTTATCCGCACATGTTTTTCTTCTTTTTACATGAGGATAAACGAGGCGAGGGTGTCGGGAAAATAAGATCAGACACGAATCGCCAAAAAATCATCCTGTCGCTCTTTTCTCGAAAAGGTGATCAGGGCCAATTGTTTCTTTTCTTTCTTTTTTTTTTTTTTTTGAAAAAGGGACCATTGAATTTAATTGAAGATTGAAAAATTGAAGTGGAAGAGTGAATATACAATAAAGTGAAGATAAATGCTTGTGAAGTTTGATGAATGATGATTATTAAAACAGTTTTCCTATGTTTTCCATTGTTCTGCAACCGGGGAGGAAAGACGGGAAACAAATGCTAAAGACTAGTATATATATATATATATATATATGCAAATATCATGCAAGAATTATTTCTTCCCCACTTCACGAAAGACTCATTATTAAGGATCGATCACAAGCGACGAAAAAAAATCTTATTAAAATAATAATTATATGATTATTAAAAGAAAAAAAAAAAGAGACTAAATACTAATAAAATGTGAGGTTACACGACTCTAACAAACACAGCAAATCCTTTGTTCCTTCCTCGCACGCAATCCTGAATACACGCGGTACGCGAACCCGCAATTAGGTAGATGGACAGAAACCTTCACAACCTAACATCAAGCAACGTGAATTTGAACATAGAAGTCCATGTTCAACCGCATCTCTTCCAAGTCGAGAATAAGTTCGATCGCATGGGTGGGCGATTCGTTGATCTGTGATGTGCATTGAAAAAAAGAAAATCAAACGCTCCATTAAATTACTTGAAAGATTTTATTACAATTCATATTTTTTTTTTTTTTCTAGAAAAAAAAAAAAAAAAGGAAAAGGCAAGGAGCCTCAACCATAAATAAATAATGATAATCTACTAACCAAAATAAATTAGAATGAAAAAAATTTTTTGGTAGTGAAAAGAAAATAGAACTTGTCGCGAAGTGGAAGTGCACGCGGGATTTGTCCGCGAGGCGTCCCACGAGCAGGATCGAAATTCGACAGAAGGGAGACCGGAATCGGCATAGAGAAAGGTTGACTTCGGCCGCTCTTCGCTTGCCGTTTGTGTGAAGATTGAACAGAGGTTTGCGTGTGTTATTAGTGAGTGTGAGAGTGTGTGTGTTTGTGTGTGTGTGTGTGTGTGTGTGCTTAGGCGTATGATGCGTCGCGTGTGAAAATGCTTGTGTAAAGTTTGCAAATTAATAAAGAGAGAAAAAAAAAAAAAAAGTATACTTTGACAAATAGATTAACCAATACATGATAAAGAATCAAGTATATAAACTATATTGACTTTTTCATTCTTAATTCCATTGCTTATACTAAACTTAAAAGAACTATCTGTAAATAAATAATAATAATAATAAAAAAGAATTTTTTTTCAGTAAGTAACAAAAGTTGGTATTTGCTTATTCTTATTCTACGTACGACCTTAGGTGTAAAGGGAAAAATTTTTTAATAAAATTGAATCTTAGATGGTAATGCATCAACATAGCGATATTACGAAAATATCGTTGATTGCTTAAGTAAATAAATTGTCAATGTCAAAAAAAAACCAATTATGAGGTGTTGTCCTCTTGACATTGATTAAAAAAAAAAAAAGAAGTATATATATATATAGATGCATATATATATATATTTTGTAAAGTTGGGTATATAAATAACGTGAACCCTTTAGATAATGACACGAGCATTTGATGATGATGAGGCATGACTCATGTGTAGAGAGTCACGAGAGAAGATGAATGATAAAGGGGAAAATAAATAAATAAATAAGAGCAAGAAAAAAAAAAAATGCGATATTTTACCAAGAAGGGGTTTCCATTATAGGTCGGTGCGGATTGATCGAAAATGAGGTGGCCAGTCAGAAGTGAAAATTGAAAAATCGGATGGGATTGAATCAGTAAATCGGTCGTCGAAATAAGTCGTCGGAAAAAAAGGTATCAGATAATTTTATTTTATGTTTGATTTGATTTGGGTTTTTTTTTTTTTAAGATAGATAGTTGGTGATGAAGTTGTGCTATTGAAGTTAAAGGTTTGTCGGTGAGTCGACGGTTGAATTCTTTAAAAAAAAAAAAAAAAAAAAAGAAAAGGAAAGAACAAAGACATACCTCTAACAAACTCTCTGCAGACCACCTATCATCTGGATTGCTGGCAAAACATTTTTCCAAGAAGTCCTTGACTTCCCACCCAATATCTGTTCTGCCGGACAAACGTCGAAATCCGTATGGCGTCTCACCCCTGCGTAATCTGTCCATAATCTCATCGTCCCTGATGCGACCCCAAGCCGCTTTTCCGCTTAAAAGTTCCAAGATACAGACACCCAAGGACCAGATGTCAACTTTTGTGTCGTAAGGTCGATCCGGTGTGACGGTAACAACGTCGGGAGCCATGTACGGAATTGTTCCAACCATGGAGGTGGTGGAAGTGGGGGTCAAGGAGGAGATGCCAAAGTCGGCTGTGAAACATGGTCGCCATTTAAAGTCAGTATACACGTGCGATGTGAACCCGATCAATTAAAATCTTAATATTATTATTCATACCAAGTTTGGTCTCTTTGTTTGCACCGGCCAAAATGTTGGAGAGCTTGATGTCCCGGTGAATGACACCGTGCGAGTGGAGATGCTTCAACGCTTCCAAGAGCTAAACGTCGTTAAAAAAAAAAAGAATGATCGAATCAATGTTGTCACTTGACACTTTCGCCACGTGATTCGGTGGTCTTGTGATTTGATTAACTTACCTCTCTGGCGATACGGGAGACTTCACGTTCGTTGATCTTACCGGCACGGCTAGTCACATCCCCGAGCGCGCATTTCTCCATGGCGATCCAAACTTCTCGGTTTTTGCCGTCCCACCTCAAGAAACTCTCTTTATAATCAACGATGTGCTCGTGTTTAAAGTTCCTTAGCACGTAGAGTTCATTAAAGATGAACTCCAGGTTATACGTGAGCGGGACAACTTTGATGGCAAGTTCCTCGTTGCGATTGGTCTTACGATGAGTGGTATAAACTTTGGCCGAAGATCCCTCGTCGATGACTTTTTTAAGGTCGTAAATATTCTGAGGGTTGTTTTCACCGTGAACGCATTGGGAAGAGATCATACGGAGGAAGTGTTGCAAAGTGTCGACCGAGTCTTTTACAGGCGGTGGTGGCGGGGGTGGTTGAACGAAGTTCTTGTCAGAGGATGATTCAGCATTTGAGGATTCGCGGAGAGGTGTACGGCGGGATTGACCAGAAGCAGAACGGCTAGATTCAGAGGCGGGGGTTGAAGATCGAGATGATGAGGCCGGTGATTGTGCGCGAGAGGTTGGAGCATTATTACCAGAAGTAGAAGATGCAGGTGACAATGGACGGACGCTAGGCGGAGAGACCGGAGATGGGGTTCGACGAGTATTTACCGGATATCTGTTATCTCTAGATGTTGACAATGGAGCGGAGACCAAGTTTTGGGATGAAACATGATGATAAGAGTCAGTCATTCGAGAGGAGGCCGAGGTTGAGTCAGTGAATTGTTTGTTGGATTTGGTGATCGAATCAGGAAAGCCATGACCATTGCGTGGAGCGGAGGCAGAGTTGTTGGATTGATTAGCCGAGCGTCTTAAATTAGGAGATTGACCAGCGTGATGGAGGTACGAGGTTGGGTATTGATCGTCATGAGAGGTTGAAGTCGAATTTGAGTTAATAGCCTGACCGTTTTTATGCGCCGAGAATGAGTTTAGACCATTTGGATTTGAACCAGAAACATTGCCGTGAACATAGGAGGGGGGGAGGACCAAAGGTGAAGAGTTTACCGAGGAAGTCGATTTATCAGGATGGTGGTTTTCAGAGGAGAAGCCATTGTTGACGTGAGCAGAGACCGGTGTGCAGAGTTCCGAATCAGATTGAGACGTAGCCGATGAGGAGCACGAACCATTTTTTGAGAAAGTCGAGGAATCAGATGAGACCGAAGAAGTGGAATCGCGATGGGAGTAGTAATCTTTAATGGAGACCGATGAGGCGTCAGCGTTTAAATCTTTGGTTGGGGGTTTATCATTGTAGCGAGGTTGAGACCGTTGAATGTTTTTAATCAGGACGTCGCCGTTAACCATGTGAGAGTGTGAGGATGAGTAGACCGATTGACCGTTGAGAACAGTGGAGACATTTTGATCAGATGGAGTGGAAGCCGAGACAGTTGTTGAGTTTGCGGTGGATTGGTGTTCTTTGGGAGAATTTGAAGAATTCCCGTTGTTGCGACGGAGACGACGTTGAACAGGTTGAACATTGTTTTGGGGAATGGGGCGATCGGTGGTAGAGGAAATGGCGTTGAAGGTTGAACCATTTTTGAAAGACATGGAAGCCCGATATCTTTTCAGAAGCAATTGTCTCTGCGTCTCTTGATCCAATTCAAATTCGTCGTCGTCATCTTCGCTATCTTCATCAATTGCACCCAATTCATGTTTAGTAAAGCGACCAATACCATCAGTGTCATCTTGATTTTCAACCAATTGGCCGTGATTTCGTGCTGGACCATTCTCATCGAGATTCAGAGTGTCTCGCGGAAGCTTAGGTTGACGGTGATATTCGAACGCTTCCTCTTCTTCCTCCTCCTCCTCCTCCTCCTCATCATCATCATCATCACACTCGCCGTCGTCGGTGGAGGTCGACTCCGAGTCACCTTCAGTGGAATCATCTTCAGTAGAACTATTGGAAGAATCATCGTCACCCGTTTCATTCTCCGAGGTGGATTCGTCAACTTCACTTTCATCCGTCTCCATCACAACATTAAAATCGGCGGCGGTCTTTTTCGCGTAAACCGTGTTGCCTCTCACGGACCCCACAGGTCTGCTGACGGGGGACGGAGATAAGTCGGGGCGCACCATCTTCTTTGAGGTTTGAACAGTGGGCTTAGGAGACGACACGCGAGGATGGGACTTCACAGATGACACCACCGGCGTGACATTTCTAACGCTATTGTTGTTGGCCTTGTTGGGTTCTTTATCCTTTGTGACGGGGGTAGCTGCGGGGGTTGGTGCCTTTGGCGAAACAGGGGATCGGGAAATCGGAGAGGATGGTGAACTCGCGGGAGCTGCTGATTTTGAATCGGACTGAATATCAAGGATTCTCTGATTATTGCTCATGATGGCCGAAAGAATTCCCATGGGAGAATTGTCAGCGGCTAATTTGGATTCGTTCTTAATACGCAGCGAACGTTCCAATTCTCGGTTACGTTGTTCCAAGCTGTTGATAATATCATCCTTTTCTCTTAATTCGAGTTCCTTCTCGCGGAGGCTTTCTTCGCGCAAGGCCAAGAGGCGTCTCAGTTTTTTAATTTCCTCGCGCATCGCGCTATCGGGAGAGTCAGCGCGGGCATGGGAGAGATGGTGAGCCGAGGCGTGATGAGCGGCGGCCGGAGGTGAAGCCGGTCGACGAGCAGATGGGGATGTCACCCTCTGCACAGGGGTATCATTGGAAGGAACGATTTTCTTTTTATCAAGCTTTGGAGTGTCAGGACGGGTGGTGGTTCGTACCGACGGTTGAGCATTCACGAGCGGGCGTTGTGAATGTTGTTGCTTGACGGAATTATTTGGTAAAACCGAAGGTGAGATATCGTCCTTCTTCTTGATTATGGAAGACACCATACTCTTGTTTTGCTTGATGAAGTTTTTCGTTCTGTTACCATATGGGGTTGTCGGACGCGGGGTTTGCTGAACCGCCTGGAGTGATGAATGTACAAATGGACGAATGCATTGAGCGTTAATAAATTTGTTAATAGTACCTTGATTGCGATGATTTTACCTTAATGTTTGCCTTGTAATAATATGTATATTTCTATTATATTATATTATGATATTACCTTCTTATCTTTTCCCTGAGTTGGAGGATAACTGGTTTCGCTTAAGCGTTCGACAGACTCATACTCCTAAGAGAACATGGTGGCGCAATTTAAAAAAGGTCAGAACTTGCGCAAAAGGTATGATAAAAGTGCATTTGTGCAGGAAAAAAACAGTAGTAATCTAATTACCTTATTATAAAGGTCTTTCATCGCATTATACATTTTGTTTGCATTGCGACTCGAGGTGGAGGTGGCAGAGGCGCTCTAACGACCACGAGGGAAATAAGAATCGGTAAGGTCATGTAAGAAAAAAATGAATTCAAGAAAGATGCTATGCATGATAATGGTAATTAATGTGATCTAACACTTGTGATTTCAAGTGATTTCGGCAAAAGTCATAATAGGTCTTCTACTTTATTATTGTATTGATCGAAAACTGGTTGAAGTTTATCCACTTTATTTTTATCATCCTTACTGCGCCGCTCCCTTAACCCCCTTTTTTTTTTTTTTTTTTGATACGCCCCCTAAGCCGAGTAAATGTCACGTGGTACCAAATCATCCCATGATCACCAAAGAAACAAAATTTACCTGTCTGCCGTGACCACCACCCCGGTCACTATCACTACCGTTACCCATACCGCTTGCGGAGTATAGATGTTCTTTTGTTATGTTTATTGAGCGCACGGCAGGTTTCGAATTAGCCGGCATTCTAAGGTAGTGAAAAAAAAAAAAAAAGAGTTTTAGATGTTGCTTATGAATGGTTGATGAAATTTTGGAGGATAAAAAAAAGAAAGAAATGGATTCAACCGTTTGGTGGCAAACTGATTGAACGTGAAACGAAAAAAAACGCATGCATGGTACTAAGAGTATCATCAATAAAAAAATTTTTTTTTCTTTTTTCAAAAAGGGGGTTTGGTTGGCCCCGGAAGGGTGATAAAGTAAAAAATCGAAAGGAAAAAAGTCGGAGGTAGGCTCGATCGAAAAAAATCAAATGCCGACGTAAGTTGATCCTCGAGATATGTGTGCCTGGGTGTGGGAGACACCACAATTCTCGAAGCGCGTTCGAATTCCAAAAAGAAAAGGGAAGAGGGAAACGTAAACTCAGAAATCTTGAATCACGTGCACAACCAAACATGAACCAAGGTGGAAATGCTCGAGGGAGGAGGGGGAGAAACGAACGAAGGCGTACAAGAGGGGAAACCGAAAAATCGCAGGAGGCGAAAGAAGGTGGAAGAAAAGAATCACAGATACGAATATCGAAAGAACTTTTTTTCCTCCGACCACCATGACAAATACCTTGAAAGAAAAGGGCGTCAAGTGTCGACTGCACTATGCTCGTTTTCTTGTTGTCGTGTGCTGTGGTTTGTCTTAGCGCACTAATCCACAAAATACAATACTTAAAATATTAATTAAAGAAGAAGGGAAAAAAAAAATTTTTTTTTTTTTTTATCGCAAATTATTACGATACAGAAAAATTCGTATGTAAACCAAAACGATTGATAAAAAATTTTTTTGGAAAATTATTTCCAAGGCGTATTTATATTATGTCAACTTTTTAAATAGTTACAATGATAAATGTATTGTAAAAATCCAATATATATATATGTGCGTATATGTATACATATATATATATATATACATCCAGATTCAACAGATAGATGTCAAATGTGTTAATGTAATATACATAAAAAAAAAAAAAAAAAAAAAGGTACTCATTTATTATGTACATAATATAATATATATGTATAAAAAATAAATAAATATATAAATAAATATATGTCTACGTACAATCAATAAGACCCAACCAACTAACGAAATAAACCTTGTTATAACGTCAAAACAAAGTGTACGCATATTCATTATTCATTTCGCATCACTTCATTTCATTCTACATTTAATCATGGAATGTCAACAAATCCTTTGCATTGCAGCTCTACGGTTCTACTCGAGGAGCATAAATTTAGGGTCGGATTATGATCGATAAAGCAACCGAATTGACGGTGTGCCGCAAACCTTGATAACGTGGCGCGCAAATGTACGTCCAAAATCTCATTTACGATTTCATCGACACAATTCTCGCCCACCGTTGGTGCATAAAAAAAAAAATTAGTATGAGGTGGTCGACGGACCGGACTCGATTTGCTTGACGGTTGGGACGAGAAATCCCAACCTCTTTCGTCGCCCTTTGACCTTTGGGTCAGCCACTTTGATGTCTGGTGTTCGCCACAGAGGAAAGAGGTGCACGATCAAAATACCATGCCACATTGTTTATACATACTTAAAATTATGCGATTGCCCAAAGCGTGTCATGTCAAAATACAATAATAATAATAATAATAATAATAATAATAATAATAATAAAAGTTTATTGGTGTCACCCGGAACTTACAATAAACCGAGACACACACTGACAGCTCGGTGATACATATACAAATATACACCTAAATATATATATAATATGTACGATAACGACCTCATTGACGGCACTAATTATATATATTGTGTGCTTATGCTAGTTGTACGCTTTAATTTACAACTAGGTTTTAAATGATCATGCACCATTAGCATATAAATCTCAGACGACCCGTTCACCATGTACAAATATTTGCCTTCTGGAATGCTTTATTGGACGCCGTCTTTTCTCTTTGGCCTTCCCATGAAATAATGGCAAGACTCTCTGTAAACAAAAAAGCGAGGAGAAAAACGACGGGATCTTCTTTTCAGCGTGAACAGAGTGGAATCGAATGCGCCATCACCATCTTTTGCACGCACAATGGGGGTCAGTGTTTTTGACATATGTCATGAAAGCATGATTGCCGTAAAGTCTCTGCGAACATAAACAAACAGGTCACCGATATTTTCCGCAAGCATAAGATGTGTTTGTTGAAGGTGGTGCGGATGGATGGCGTAGGGATCAGATGGTCACGACGCCCAACGAATTCAGGAATTACTTATGCACCAGGGAGGATTAATATGGACTCGGATTCCGAGGAGTGAGATGCGCAGGAATCACAGGGAAACGGTCAGGACGATGGAATTCCAACTGAAGATTTTTTTTAAGAAATTACGAATGGATAAGTGAATTTTACCTTTTCCTGCCGGGTCAGATAAGATTCGACGTACAGGGTAACAGGATCAACCAAAAAATGCTTAATGATTTCATTAAGCAAAGCAATCATGTGAAGATACCCTTATTACTCATTGAAATTAGCACATGGCACATAATAGAATATTTCATGCAATTATACACTATGATAATGGAAAGTGATTTCTGCGTTAGACCTTGCGGAGCGGAATATCTTTCTCTCTGCCGCTGAAATTGGCCAGGAAAATGAACTCCATCCTCTTTTTCCCCTTTCCCTTTTTGATTCGCTGGGCGCAAAAATAAATAAATAAATAAATAAAATCGGGAGGTGCATTCCTGTCGAAATTTTAATCCATATGGAAGCTTCCACATCGCGATCTCGATAATGCTTGCTATTCACTATTATTAAATTAAAGGTCTTTCAACCCGCCAAAGTCGACTTGCATGAGGGTGTGCGATAAACGATGAAACAATGAAACTCTAATCCTCCTACACCCCTCAAAAAAAAAAAAAAAAAAAAAAAAAAATGACGGTAGGTGACAAGGAAAGAGGATTCGCAACAAAGCTGTATCATTTCATATTACGTCCTTATAAAAAAAAAAACATTTATTTGCTCACGGACCAAGTAAAGATAAAATAAAAATAGCAATAACGATTACAATGATGATAATACAGTTGCTGTGTATCAATGGGAGTGGTAATAATAGAGCGGAATCGTTTTTGGAAAACAAAGGTTGTATTCAATCGATGCACAAAATCAATCGAAACGACGTTGCCTGACAGGAAATCAAAAAGATTGTCATTGCATGAAGGAGAAGGACCGACCACCCGATACACACCCACGAGGATAACGGATTTTGACAGATGCCCGACATCGGGAGAGAAAACGAGAACATGCATAATGCAACATATGAGACGAGACGAGACAACAGGTGAATCTCAAACGCACGAACCAACGGCACACTTGACAGACAAGGAGGGGAGGCACTTTTTATTGTCCGGATGATTGACACCTTGCGCAAATAACAAAGGTGTTACAAAATTTCTTTTACAGCATCCGCGGATGGAAAGAGGATTAAGGGATACAGTAAAATGGGTTACAAGATGTTCACGCATCGACCGCAGACAAGAACCATATTTTAAGAACACTTTCAAAGAATGAAGATAATAGGACAAACCCGATTGATTGTGTTTCATTCTCTTTATCTAATCTCACATTAAACATCTGTCGTTGTTTATCCCGTTAATTTTAACAGTACCAAAAAGGGGCTATTGTTTTTTTTTTTTTTTTTTTTTTTGCCAATTCTCGGATTATTAATTTGACGTGCATTTATGAAATTATTGTTTTTTTTTTTTTTTTGATTTGTATGTGTATTACTAGGTGATCAATACTACGATAACGGTTTGTTTACTGCGCAATTACATAGCACATTACGTACCTTGATAGCCAAATTTACACCATGCCTCAGCACCTCAGCACACAATGACAAATATGATAAGCCTAGAATTCTAGAAATAGGATATGTGCCAAATGATAGATATCCGGTATGTGCGCAGGGCATTTCCGGTTTATCCGAGAATAATTCATTGACATCTGATAAGCAAGAGGACGGAGAATAAATATCCACAATAAAAAAAAAACTTGTGTTCTCACAAATGGAAACTGGCCTCCTTTTTTTTTTTTTTTTTCCGAAATCTAGCTTTACGCTTTTGTAGAATGTTTATCTGTTATGGTAATTGGCGATAGAGGGTATGTCATATGCGTCATTTGAAATCAGCAAATTTTCTCCGGTGGGATTATGCGAACAAGATGGCGACGGAAACTTGGACCGACGGAAGATATGCATGAATTGAAATTCTATCCAGTTTGCGTGTCTCCTCTCGTCTCATCATTATTCGACCCTCCCCCCTTCCTTTCTCTATTCGTGCGTGAAAATGTAAAAGAAGGTGGTGGTGTCATCGGGTGACAACCATTTGGCCGACGCCCGTCCGGTCAAAGTACGATGATGCCTTCCCGCGCTGGTTGATGGCAGCGACGAAAACGGGATCATCATCATCATAGCGTCTATTGCGACAGATGGTTGGTCAATGTCAATTCAATCTTCGGCCAACCGGCAGAGACGAGATGAAAGGCGTAAGTAATCAAGACGTAACCATGTAATCGATCGATAGAGCTCGATATTAAATTACGATACTGGGTTAGAATGGTGAATGAGTGGGAAACTTTATAATTATGTGATCTAGTCATTTTGAATTTCATGCAGGGTAATTAACAGCGGAAAAAAAAGAAACGTGGCGGTCGGCATTTTCAAATAGTTTAATGCGTCACGCCAATAATAATAAATCGACGTCAAGTTGATCATTCCATTAACGGTAAGTTTCTTAATCGACGGCAGCCGCTCGTGTAACGCGTGTGCTAAAATGAATGCCAATGGTCTTCAGTCGATAGGTGTCTTGCTTTCAATGGTGCCATTTATGAATTCGTATGAAGTAACTTGCATATACATAGTAGTTTAAATAAAGATTGTTGTTGATAACTTAAACTTCAGAAACAAACAAACACAAACGCATTTTCCTACATTATTATTTTTTATTATTGCGGCACGCACATTTCCATCTTTCTTTCTTTGGGATGTCATGGCATGACACGAGTGAGAGGGAAGGGGGGGATGAATGAAACGTCAAAATCTTTCAGGCACGGACTCGTTTCACCAAGAGCGACAAGGGGCGGCGACACAGCGGTGACCGCATCCTTCCTCTCGCACGTTTTCCGTGCGGTTGACCTCTCGTTCATTTCGTCATTCCAATAATTAATTACCCGAGCTCTTTTCCAGGTTACCGCCGTTATTGAAGAACGAGAGAAAAAAAAAAAAAGGTGGGGTTGCTGTCGGGCGGAATTAAAAGAGGAAAGTGTTTGGTAAACAAACTGCCATGGTAGGTAAACAAATGACCATTTTCACAATGATATTCACCTTCCGTAATTGCACATTACGTATTGTATCATATAATCTTACTAGATTAATTAGTGCTAGACTCTTTTGACATCTAATGACGTTTATGCGCTCCCCCAATTCTCAAGCCAAATGAATTTACTTGTTGGGTTGGCTCAACACCTCCCCAACCCACGCATCAAGTTTTACCGAGGCCATCGGGTACCTCGATTGCTATTAATAATAACCCTGATAAAATTCCTAACAAGAGGTAGGATTTTCATTTTCGGCAATTAAAAGGAAGAGGTGACATGCAAAAATGGAAAAATTAGAAAAAGGGGGATCATTATCACCTTCACGATCGCATATAGTTTTCCATTTTTGGATAGGTGAATGGAGGAAGGAATATACGCCTACGCCTCGGAATGATCCTTGCCACAAATTCGGTGATCATCCCAGTGCCAAAACAAGAAATGTGCGTTTTTCGCCTATCGCATTTTATACAGTGGACAATGATGTCATCTTGGTAATTATCTGATACCCATCTGGCATTTATCATTAACATTATTTTTGTCCAATTATGGAAAGTTGTCGTGTCCAAAGGAAAGGTTCAATGTCCGTTAAGGTGTGAAGTGGTGTAATCGACGTAAGGAAAATGGGGTTGAGGTTTCCATCTTTGGCACCTCTCATTAATTGTTTACCGTTTGCATCACCATTAAACAATTTTTGACCGAGAGTTTTTGTGCGCGTGCGTCGGTGGAATCTAGTAATCCAGTATGAAAAATATACGTACCTAAACTAGTTGATATATCACAATGAAAAATTATTGAGTTTCGCAAATGTCCCACAGTTCGGTGAGTACAATGATCGAGCCATTTTTTCGGTTGCACCGAATGACTCGACTCGGAAGATTAATTGTCTATTCGAGCAAATCACCTTGCTCCACGTTCGTCGCACACACGTACCTTATATTTTTAGGTGTGAGCAATGCTAGCTATACTAGAAGTTTCACCAAATTCCCACGCGGCCGTAGTGTTGGGATCTACAACAATATCTCGTGGCTTATCCATTAACACAAGAGATAAATATTCACCCCTTAAAAAAATCTATTAATTAAAACGTGGTCATCTACGAAATTTTTCTTATACAGTATGTTGTTAGCGTCCATCGGATGTCGCACGAGTCATTTAACCTTAAACACCAACCATTCCTCCCCGATTTCTCGACAATATTCTTTTTTCCTTTCAAAGGAATCTCCGGGAGGTGTGAGCTTACCTATGGCGAAAAGGGTTAAGCAAAAGGAAATCGTTCACCGCTAGTCTCCTTCTAAAAAAGATAGTGGAAATTTATTTTGCCGACCTTAATATTTGTCGTGCTATGAACGGTTCGAGTAACATCGCGACGGATTTATCTCATGAGTTCCTTGTTTTTCATTGATCCACTCATCCCGCATTTTGATTGGTGCTCATCGTTTGCTCCGAACGATTGTGTCATGTTTTCATTATTGTTTTCCCTTTGGTATCATTATACACACGGTATACCCTGTAATACCCCCTACTTTTTTTAAAGCCAACACTACTGGTTTGAGCTTGTCGGCGATGGCCCTTGTCATCTGTTTAATCATCCATTCAAATTTGTATTATAATGGTGTGGCATCAATCTCATTTCGTCGGACGAACGATTCCAAATTCTATTGGCATGCATAAACAATTTACCCATTTGCGATAAAGGATATCGGTTGGGTTGCCACTGACGTCAGGTTAATCTAACACGACGACGAATGAGGAGTGCCCTCGTCATCTTGATCTCTTTATTTTTCCTGTCAGCAGGTTCCCTCCGTTCACCAGAGTCTGCGGAAGGTGGAACCGTTTTGTCGGTCGTCGAATCGTTAACGAGTTATTATACGCATGCGTGCACGAGTCTAATCGAGGATCTAATCATTGTTTGCTAGAATGAAGTTCACTCGACCTCTCCCATAACCGTTAAGAAAGAGATGAGACTAGCCACTTTTTTTTCATTTCAAATCGAATGCCCCACCTCTCGAGAGTTCACCAAAAGATCACCTGTCGAACCCAGTCGCCCGCCTCTTTATTTAACTTGTCAATATGTTCCCCTCCCCGAAGGTCATGCTCGAAAATTTGGTCACTCTCGTGATTGCTGTTGCGTGGCCTAATAATTTCTCTGATTTTTCACGCGCTCCTCGCCGCCGTGATGTCCCTTCGCTCTTTCACGACGCTCGATGTCGTTCTAAATTTTCTCCGTGAGATCAAGGATTCGGAGCGAATATTGATTGATCTTGTCAATAAAATCAGTGATTTAATGTGCCGCATAATTTTGAATGACCCGATTCATCGACATGCATCGATTAATTCTTAACATTCAATGAGTCCATTGGTTCATTTGCAATGATGACATATTTGGCGATAATCTATCAGATTTCCCCCCGAAATATTTATATCTGCCGTTTGGAAACACTCACATCCGTCCAATTATTGGTCAGGTCCATTATGGCTACTGAAACTTGCGCAACCGACAGGTCAAATTTCTGCTCGTAGAACCCGAACATATCGGTTAAGATTGCGTGGTAACGGGTCTATCATCTGGGATGCGGTGTCTGACTTTGCCAGGACAACCACTCGGAGCTCTTATCGAACGGCCACCGGTCATTGAAAGAGGATATGGATTTTCGGACCAAACGCTGAAACACCCCTGAGATCCAAGGTTGTATCGCGTACATTCCAAATTTCAACTCTAGCACTATCGTTAAATATCGTTAACCCCAAGGTACCCACCAATTATATGCGGGATGAATGAATGACGTTACGTTTTATGTAATGTTGACAATTACAATGGTGAATCATTCGGTTTGACCAATCACCGAACTTCTGGTGTTAACATGTGCCTCCCGCGTCAAATAATTTGGTTCGTTGATGCCCTTTCATTTTAACAGATCGGGTTATTTGTGATCACCCGTCATTATTACCCATTTTATTCTTTATTTTATTTTATTTTATTTTGGAGTTTGGAATTTTCTTTGAAAAAACGTGCAACGAATTTCGTTTCGGACAAGGTTTGTGCGTCCAAAGAATGAATGATCATTTTCCCGAAGATTAGACAACAGTCCCGACTAACCAATTAGATCGTAACCTCTTATCATCGATCCAAATTCCCAAGCATTATCTCAAGGTCGCACTCGCCTATTGCCCTCGCACCGGACAAATGCTCACCTGTCATGGGTGGCGACGACGGTTCGGCAATGTAGCTTTAAAAAAAAAAAAAAAGGTGATTGACATCGTCATGCCGTTCGACGACTTTACGAAAATACACGAGCGTACGATAAAAATTTCAGTTCGGATATGCGATGAATATGAATACATACAGTATATTGTACACACAGTAATACAGTGCGTCGCGTGTACAGAAGACTTTTTAACATGAACTCGATCACTGATCTGCATCAAGGATAAAATTTAATTTATTTCATGTGCATTCTTTGTTTTCGATTGTTATGGTATGTGACCATAAAATCGCATGCAAATTTCACGGTATCACGTATGATAGTATTCTCGCGCTAATCCATATTTTTCATAATATTACCTAATTCCCCTATGTACGTGACACCCTCGCATTATTGCTGCATATGAACATTATAAAAGGTTATGTGGGATGATGTAATGAATAGTGTTACCCGAGTGTCAAATGATTTCTTGCAAATCCCCCACCCTTTTCTTCCTTTTTTTTTTTTTTTTTTTTTTTTTTTTTTGTGTGTGTCGAATTAACTGGTTTCGTGAAACCATTGATTTTGTTTTTGGCTATGTTAAGTCAAGGCGAATACACATGTATTTATAGTAATCGTGTGTGAATATATAACACGCTATACAAAATTAATATGACAACACCTGGTGTCACAGCGTGTGCACGTCGTCGGTTATGGCAGGTGACAACGTGATTTAAGGTTTGTCTGTGTACCTCGGACAGGTTTCGAACGATTGATTCATGCCAAATCCGCCGTCACATAATTCCCAAATTTTCATTAGGTAAAGATCGCGCAGCGGCTTTTGGTGTCATTGGCGGGATGGAGGTGCGCGCATGATTGCGGTAAACTCATGGTAAAGACTATGGCATGCAAAGGGATTCAAAAGAGACCTTTGACCATATTTGACGGTGCGTCATTGGACCCGATGCCGAAGCTGCGCCAGGTGCTATGGGTGCAGAACAATTATTCATCTTAAATGGGCGGTTTAAAATTTCTTTTACAGGCCAAGATCATCCAACAACCGAACCAAAAATGATGCAAGTATGCATGTACAAGTATGTAACGCGAATTTTTTTGTGTGCTCATTAAATCGTCTTCACAAAAAAAAAAGGTTACCTTTTCCAGGAATGAGCGATTGACAGACGAAGATAATCGCTTTTTTGCAGGTATACATTGGCAATGTTAATTTTCATGTGATTCATCATTTGGTCATTTTCATCTATCTATCATTCAATAATGTTTTTTTTTTAATCTGGTTCTCGACTAACAGATATTTTAGTTACCGGAAATTTCCGTGATGACTTGTAGTAACACGTACGTACTTAGTTAATTCAACCGGTTCACCAAAGAGTAACAGCCGAGATATCACCAAAAAGTAAATTTTGGTAACAAATAATTCTGCCGATCCTATTGTTCTCAAATTTACACATGTGCATCCAGAACAATTTAGCTGTAATTCAAGTGTGTCCACTTGTTCCGCGGTTAAAACAATTGATTTACAATTGTGTAATATTTTGACAGATCATACAACGTCGACCAGTTTTTCTTTCCATACGTAACCTTTTTCTAATCGTCCGGGTGCATAAATTTGGAAATTGGTTGCTGCGGAAATGATTCGGCGGTGGCGGTGGCACAAGATTCGCCGCGTTAATTCAATGCCGAGCATTAAATTAAAACAGCACGCATTTAATTAATTTGCTGAGGTCGAATTTATCTCGGTGATCTTTGATTGTTTTTAGGTTTTAAATTTATCGGGGTATCTAAAGAAGACAACAGAAAGGAATTGGTGGACACGTTCAATATAGTGCGGGGGTAGTGAGAAATAGTTCGCATAAATTAGTTTCAAAAACTCGTAACCAATAGGATCCGTCGACGCTCGTTAATTAGCATTTATTCCGTCTACCACTGACGATTCAACCATTTCCATCTATCATTGAAGTTCACCCGTTCCCTCTTCCACTAGCGTTCTCCCATTCCCACGTGCCACGGCCACTGATGTCCGTTTGTGTTCCTCCCGTTATCTCACCATCATAATCGTTACCTCTTTCTAACCACCACCACCTTCTCGTTGTCAATCTCTCCTCATCTTCGCACCACATTAGCCGATTTACAAAAATATCTTGTGCGCATTGGGTCTAAGATGTGGAGTGCGTTCGTGAATCGCACATGTAAGCATTCGAGGATTTCACATTTAGCCGGAGGATCGGCGGTCTCTGATTGCTTGCGCCCGCGCGTACTTTTTGAATTTCCGTCAAAATCGAATCATCTGACAACAACTATTGTATTCGGGAGACACCTGGGAATGCAGACCTCGCAGGACAACTACCAAAAATGCATAATAGATAGAACCCAAGGCGTCATAGTTGTGTCATCGATTTCCAAAATGATAAATGATAATGTACAGTATGTATGCGTTCAAAAAATCTTCGCGCATGCGCGTGAGTGTGAGAAACGGACGATTGTTCTGAGATTCACTTGTTCCTCATAACGGTCAAGGGTTACGCATGAGGTACACGTAAGAATACCAATCATCTCGGTCGGATTTCCTACGGTTCCTCGAGTTTATTTACTGTACCATCAGGCGCAGCATCCCTTTCTTTCGACGTACTCGAGAACAATACAGAGTCAACGCCCTTTGTTAGGTAGGCCCAAGAGATTCGGGGGGAGTTGACCACCCGTTCCACTCACCCACTCCACCAGGCATGGCAATTGTCGGTGAATGAAGGTGGTTTTGTTTCTATTGATATAAACAGTTACACACGAAGGATCGAGTCACGAATTTGCACATCCTCGAATGACATCACGAAAAATGGACTGAATGAGTCGGGTGCGACTAATCATGATCGGGCAATGGAGAAAGACGAGAAGCACCCACCCCCTCCCCAAAATCATTGCGCTTATTAACTCTTTTCGATTCTTTTTGTATGCTGTAGAACTTGTATAGAGGTCAATAGATAAGGGGAGGCCAACAGTTTCATCTTTTTTATCACAGTCGAAATTGAGACTAACTGAAAATCGAGGATGTACGATTGATTACTTTTTTGCGCATATCAAACTATGAATAGTACTGTATATGCCACATACGCCGTATATGTTTACATGTACAGTATGTGCATATAACTATATGCACACCTACTACTGTATATACAGTACACACGCACTTCATATACGGTATCCATCATATACAGTATACACACTTTCGAGAGGTGCACACGAGAGTGTCCGGTGAACTTCTTTCAGCCTATCCATCAAGAGAAAAAAAACTTGAGGTATGCACAATTTTGGAAGGCGATCCACTCATTCAGATGTCGACGCACCCTCCTCTCTCTCTTCCCCCTTCCCTCACCTCCTCCCTCGCTCCCCTCGTACAAATTCATAATTGTCGCACATGTGTTGGGAGTTCCTGTTCTACCCAGCTCTTCATACATACATACATACATAAATTGGGCGTTGTAAGGGAAATCCGCTTTCTGAAGTTCGCGTGCCCCGGCGAACAAAGTTCATTCGCCTCCTTAAAAACAGGGTTCCCATTAAAAAAAAAAAAAATAATACACACATGCAAGAAATAAAAAGGTACCGGATTACGTGATCAGGAAAACTAAATCCGTCGAAGTGAGAACAAAGTTTGACCTAATTGGGTCTGATGACCTTTCAAAAAAATGTGTGCCTCACATAAAGAAGGATTTCTATCTTGCTCGAGTCCAAGCACATGCACCTCATTACGCTGTGTAATTAATTACATGCGGTGAATAATATCCGGATCCTCTGATTTCGTTTTGTTTGACCATTTCAACAATCAATTCTTGTTTCAGAGGAAGAGGAAAAAGGACCCGTTTTCTTTGTTTACCATCACTTTCAATGCGGTGCTCTTCTGTCTCGAACGGGGAAACGCCACATTCCGTCTCACACCTGTCCTTGATTCAAATGACCTTTAAATAATGATGATGATGGTGACGATAGTGATGATGATGATGATGATGATGATGGTGATGATAATTTACATTGATCCGATCCGTCGTGAAAAGATCAGAAAAAGAAAAAAGAAAAAAGAATCATCACGAACCTCTCAAACATCTGATCCTGTGTCACGCCATGGCAGACCGAACTCCCAAAATCGGACTCATTGCCTTATCTCGGTGGGCACACAGAAAACCAACTGACGTTGGATCACATGGATGGTGTATCAAGAGAAGCCATACATTGCGATGATTCTTCTGCTCGGGGTACTGCACATATCCGGCTGAATGTGATTTTTAAGTATTGATGAGTGAATATTCTTTCTTTCATTCTTTTTTTTTTTTTTTTTAGAA